ACTCAAAAAATAGTTTTAAAATATTTGCATCCCAACCTTTACTTACATAATCACTAAAGAAATTAGTAGCCCACTTGAATCTACAATTCAGCTTAACAAATGGAGTTCTGTTTGTCAAGAATGCTATTTCCAAATAATCAGCTAAAACACATCTGATTAGTTCACTTGTCAATAATGTCATTTTCAAACAATTATTTTTATAATACAATATTTTTATAATTTGGATAAATGGATGTTTGTCGTCCACCCACCTAAGAAAGTTTATCGGATCCACACCATCCCAAAAAAATGATATTTTATTTTGATTGTGAACTATATCAATAATATTAATAATAATGCAAGGCTATAAAACAATAGGAAATATATGATAGTATTTAGTAAATATATTTATCAACATGGTAATAGTTATTAGTAAATCCACATCTTGTCTAATTGAGATTAAGTACAATTACTTGTGATAAAACAAATAATATCAAAGTATGAAAATATTCTATAAATTATTGTTAATATTATTAAATAATACCCAAATGGAAATTAATGTAAGTCTAATCAATAAATATTTTAATGATAAATGGAGGTAAGACCAGTTTGGGCCAGCAAGTAAAAATTAGAATTGATGATTTGGAACTAATAATAAATACTAAGAATTTCATTAAGCTATCTTATAAAGTTATAATGTTAATTACATGATAAATTAAATTTTACAATACTGAGAATTCAAAAAAAATATCGAAGTACTGTGGCATCTATTGATCCACAATTTGTCAAACTTAAAAGAACAACGTACCGTCACTTGTATAGCGTGTACACCCACAGCAGAATTTGCACGGGGAAGTCCATCGGTTCCGTATTTTTCCTTCCGCCGTACTTTGGTAGATAGTTCTGCTTCATTTTTATAATTCAGTGACTTCCTGGACTGGGATTCAACATGAGAAGAAATGGGTCTATCACGAGATGCATGATAAACACTGTCAACTGATTCATTTATCAATCTTGATTTGTGAGCAAGGTCCTTAGAAACTAGGGTTCCTGCTTTGTATTTGTCAAGATTCTTTGGTTCCATAGATGGTGATGAAGCATCTTTTGATATTCTGCCAGATAAAGTATTTGATTTATTTTTCAAAATTTTCCTTTCTTTATAATGTTCACTGTGGACAGTTTGGATGTTAGCTATATTTGTGAAGTTGTTTCCCATCAAAGGTGCTCTTCTGGCAGTAGTATTTATCTGTACATTATCTGTGCCCACAATATCATTTGTGAAATCCATGTCACTGGTTTCAATGCTGAGCTTTGTTGAATCTTTTCTTCTTCTTTTCTTTGGCACTGGTTTAGGTGATGAACTAGGTTTACTGGAGTGAGAAAAATCATCATGAATAGGTGATGAACTAGGCTTTCTGCAGTGAGAAAACAAATATGTTATAACTGCTGCAATATTATTTAAGTTTGATACTACTGTAAAAGTAAAGGCACTTGACAGTCAATTGGCGGGTAAATTGTCAAATGATTCTGATTCAAAACTAGAAATTTCAGTACTAAAAGTATAAAGATGAAGAGAGACATAATTATAAAAATAATTTAAAAAAAAATAATCTCAATATATGATATTTTAGAAGAGAAAGCAAAAAAGACCATAAAGACAAATAACACTAGTAGAAAATCAGGTGAAATTTTCTATCAAACAGAAACTACGTAGTGATTGCTAAATAATATAGGCAATGTGATCATAGTATTGGCCAGCTAAAGAAAAGATTACTAGTGTTGTCACTGTGCAATGTACATTAAGAGAAATAGCTATCCTTCCATAACATGTGCATAACAAAAAAAATTATTAGATGTTCACATATGATACAGAACATGTGCAAGCAAATAGCTTTACTCACAAAATATTCCCCCAGTCATATGTTGTACCCTAGATATCAAACTAAGTTCATAAATTTACAAGAAGCTTCTATCATTCTGAGATGTCTTCACCTATGAAAGCCAACGTGAACCCAATCTCTCTGCTTTAAACACGACACCACTCATCCATATCCAGCTAGTAACATATTCCAGAGGACAAATTAACCATAAAATATTTCAGCTCATAGACATACAACTTGCTAGGTAAATTTTGTAAATGTAAAGACTTAATGCAACTAAATCATGTCTAATCTCTTAAATTGGGTAAAATTCCTTAGGAATCATCAGATTTAACCACCAATGTGAATCTACAACAAGGTGTGAATCAAATTTTTGGGGACTGTAAAGAATGAGCTTGAATATTTTAAATTCAATCCAAGAGAAAATCTAGTGATGGAATGAGAATGTTATAATTTACTTTCCAATTGTGTTTTTTTAACTTGATAGAGTTTAATTTACAAAAAAAATTAGTAATTTTAATAAGACATTGAAAATAATAGAAACATGAGTTAGTGTTTAGTGAAGCAGCCCTTTTTATCACCCGAAGAATCATTTTCTATTATGCAAGAGTACCAAAGAGGACAAAATATAAACAAGGGATAGATGCCACAATGTAAAAGATAAGATGTGAAGTGTATAATAAGTGGAAGAGTGACGTAAGTTGTCGGTGTTAGTCTCAAAATTACAGAGTCCACCATATACAATCAAGCTTAACCAATTTCATGGTTACCTGCTTAACCAAAATTGCTGTAAGTTTGACTCCAATAATGTTGGGACATTGTCTGTGCATTTGATGCGGTTTGATCAATAACAAATATTTGTATGTATATAACCGAGTTTCGAGTTCAAATGTGCACATATTATAGTGAAGATGAAAATGTCTGGAATTTGCTCGAGTCATAACTTTTTAGTCAGTTATTATAATAACTATTATAACATGTTTTCAGAAAGCTTGGAATGTGCTCTACGGCGTGAAGCAGCCGGTTAGACCGGACAGTACACCGACCAGTCAAACCAAGCGTTGCACTGACAGGTGCTCTGGAGAATGCTCTGTCCATAGACTAGCTGATCCGACTATCCAGCAATTTGAACGACTGGTCAGATAAATCTGGGCAAATTCTGGATCAAAATCAAGATTCGAACCATATACCCTCTACATAGTGTTGGGGTTTCTTTCGAGACATGTTGAGAAATCTGTAAAGAGGCTAAAAGAGACAAAAAAAAAGCAAAAGAGAGCTTTGGAAGGAGAAAAAGAGATCTCATCCCCTGACTCTCACTCGGTTCCATGTCGCTTCCTCGAAGCAAGTTGAATCATCCGAAGAACGGTTTTGCAGCAAAAGCATCGTAAGATTGTTCTAGGGTTTTGCTAACCTGATTATTGTTTGCGTTTCTTTTCTATGATCATTAGTAAGACCATTGGTTTTTCACTGCATACTCAACCTGGTTTTAATTGAGGAATTAGGAATACTAGCTGGGCAACAATTTACACTTGTATGGTAGGAGTTTTGGCAGAGATGATTAACTTAGGGTTTAGTCTACGGTTCGGTCTTGTACAGCTTACTGGATCGGGTTGTGATCCAAGAAAATCCTTCATACCAGAGCGGAAGACCCTCCTGATGAGGAGGAAGAGTGGAAGCAGAAATTTATTCCAAACAACTATAAAATCATCCATGTTGATATGTGATTGTGTTGTTTAGTTATTGAGGTACTTGTGATTATTATTCTAACTTGCAATAGATTTTAGAAGTTTTATTAAGAATCAGGGTCCTATTTATTAAAACTGTTATGAGTAATTTTATGTTCGTTTTAAATAAAAAAAAGTATATGTCTTAAGCTTCGGAACTCAAGTGTTACATTATATGCTATTGTTATTTTCAACATATACATATATACACATGCACATACACACACACATACATTTACATACATCCTACTTTAGCAACTGCTTTCCATTATTTGGAAGACTTGTCATAACAGAATTATCTCAGGGTAGAGTGTCTTAGTTTGCTAAACAGAATCTGATATTCATATTCCAGTGCATCATTTGCAGTCACCTTATGATCCTTCAACACACTCAGCTCTGTTTCAGATTGATAGATCAGAATAACTTACACAAATATGACTTTGCTTGCACTCAAATTGACACCCCAAATAAAAAAGCTCCGGGATTTATTAGCTACTGGAAAATGTCATCTAAGGCATCAACCTTCTACTGGAAAATGTGTGCATAATAAATTTTTTATTAGCACCCTGATAACTAGAATAGAGAGGAAATATCTACGTAGGAGTTTTGTCATATTAAATGGACCTTGGATTTTGCTATGTAATTATTTTAATGTGTGGAGTTAAGTAGTCAGTTAAGAGTAGTGGTTTAGTTATGACTTATGAGATAATTGCTGGTGTTTTTCCAATATACCCTCAGATTAATTTTCAAATACTAAATAAACTTGAGGGCATTATCAGGTTTTTGAAAATGAAGCTCACAGGACCAAAAGCCTGGCTTCTCTTAAACAATAGTATAGATAAATGACTTCAAATACTTGCACAGAGACCGAGGCTACCACTTAATCGTGCTTCATAAAATTGAATCCGCCGAAAAAAAGGAATCAAGAGCTATATAGATCAAAAGACAACTTACATCTGTTCCAACTTCCCTCTGTTGACAAAATATCCATTGTGTTTGGTTGACAATTTGTCAACCTGAAAATAGTCATCCTGTAATATTAGCAAAATAATGAGATATCAGCAGATTCAACACTTAACTTATCCAACTTTGCAGACAAATAAACCACAATACAATGAAATAAGGATGAATGTTGAGTGTAGAGATGCCAGGGATTAAATTAAATATGAAAGTTTGGTTAATCAATGTTAGTGAATTATTAGCAAGATAATTTTATAACAACAAAACCGGGCCAATGCTGCATTTAGTTTTTTTTTTTCGCTTTTGTGGAGCCTCCGGACTTCAAATTGTCCACTTTCAGATCCCCTTTTGAAATGGAGAAGACTTGGACAATGAATATGATGACGAACTAGGAAGAATATGTACCAAATATGCATCTATGAAAATATGCACAAAATAAGAATCAAGGAATGGAGAACTTTCTTACAGAAACAACATTTAATGATCTCAAAGTGACTGTTTCTTCATATCAAGTTGAGTTAGAAAGATTACTGAACATCCTAGAACATAAAATTTTGTAAAAGAAATCAATAGCAAAATAGAAATCACAAGACATTGATGTAAAAAAATATTTAGACAACCAACCAATTCAGCATCATCAATGAATGAATCTTCAGTATCATACTGATCATCATCTGGGATATCATCAAGATCTTCCCCATCACTACTCTGTTCGCCCTGAATTAAGAGATACTATTAGTACATATTGATAAATATGAACTCCAATCGCAGAGAACCTTACCATGTACATGCGCTCAATCTTCTCAATTACGGCATTGAAACGATTAGAGGGTTGTACATCCTGTATTTCACTTTCTAAAGGCTGAATCTGAAGGTGGAAGCCAGAGAGAAAATAGGTAAAAATTAATAAACTACAGTCAAAGGAAAAAGGTATATTCCAAAAAAAGGGAACAGATGAGATAGCCCATAAAATAGCTGCTCACAAAAACTTGGCTTTCTGTTTCCAGCCAGTGTTGTTGTTTAAAACAAGGATATTTACACAGTTAGAATCATAAACATTTCAACATACAACCATAAGCATGTTAATACACAAAAATAGAGATGCCTGATAGACAGGCATCATGCACACTTTCAAGTAAAGTGTTTTAGTTATTCCTAAATCGTAATTCAATGTGTGGGTTCCCCTTATATAGTTACAGATGTTCATAAACCCTGTGTGACCAATAATGTGTATTTGACAAGGAAAATCTTCTCAGCATGTAAATGCTACGGTTAGTTAACTTAGAAGTACCTAGTTATTTATCTTAAGTGGCTCTTCACATGCCTTTTCCTACAAAATCACAAGCCTATGGAGATAAGCTGGTAGCTAAAAACAACCTAAGAAGTGATAATACCACTCCATCATAATGGATGTCAATAGAGTATCGGAATACTGAGTACATCGAAAAGAGAAAAAGTTCTGAACTTTAAAGCATCACAAAGTGGATTCTTGGTACTAGTTCCTTCTCTAATAAAAAAAACAACTACGTTTTAATTGCATCAAATCAGCTGCTATGCTCTTCTCAGTTATTCATTTGGATCATATACGTAACATTATGGAAATGTTAGTTCATCCAAGTAACTATTACCACTCACCAAGTTAGCTGCAGTTGTGACATGTCTTACCTCATGACTGAAGCACCAATACGAACTAAGATGAAACTGAGATTTTTCGACCTAGAGAACTTTGCTTCCCTGAATGAGATTCCAGATTCCTTCTAGCTTTAGCCATAAGGCCTTCCAGATAAAACCTAGTGAAAACGTGTTTTATAGGTTGGTTCGAATTAGGGGTTGCTCCTATCTTGACTCGATGCTTGACAAGGTTTTAAATGTCGGATGTCGGGTTCATGTCGGACGGCTGAACTCCATATCGGATAGCGAAAATTAGGGATATACCGGGGGACATGGACTAAATATCGGATTGCCATATCGGGTGGTGCACATATGTATAATATCATATCTTAAATGTAATCTAAACATTCCTAAATTCAATATAAGCATACTTTATAAATTCTAGAAGCGATGCCTACGATCGGTGGATTTCGACGTCACAGGGAGGCTGCGTCGGCAATGGGACGTCGCAAGGAGGCAGTGCTGGGGCTCTTCTTCTTCTTCGTCTACTCGAGATCCTTTAGATAAGTCACCGACCACCTTCTTCCCTTTATCCCGACGACGGGATACCATGCCGCCCTCGAGTTCGGTTGGGGTTCGGATTTCGGAGCGCAACGGGAGATGGACGACGGGGGGCCGAGATGGAGGTGGGGGAAGGACGTCGTCGTTCACGAAAAGAGTGATAGGTTCTCAAGTCCGCTGCAGCCCTAATTTTTCTCTTTCTTTCTATTAGGTTCATAAGAAACTCTTAAACATGAGAACAGGTCAAACGAGTTTGGATTTTTATCACTAAACCCAAACCCGATAACAAAAAATAGATCTAAAAAAAAGGGCCATATCGGTCGATTTTTCAAAGCTGAAAAATCGGCTGATATGCCTGATATGGCCCCGATATTTCTGATTTGGCCCTGAAAACCGACATACGAGTTGAAAACGCCCATGTCGTGTCGCTCAAGCCCTCAAACCGACATGTCGGCCGATATTTAAAACTTCGATGCTTTGTCACTAGCAGACTTGTCCCTGAGCATGCAAATCATAATATCATATTGTTTCCGGCTGAGTATGATTAACTATAAGACTTTCTCCATGATTTCTCCCTCAAGAATGTAAGATAGGAGTATAGGACTCAATCTTGAGCTCAATTATTCAATCGGATCATCTATGGAATATCATTGAAATGTTACTTTATCTAACTAATTATCACCACTCACCAAGTTGGTTGCAGATGTCACGTGCTTTACCTCATGACTGAAGCACCAATATGAACTAAGATAAAATGGAAGTGCATGCAAATCATAATATCATATTGTTTAGGGCTGAGTGTGATTAATTATAAGAGTTTCTCTAGGATTTCTCCCTCAAGAATGTGAGCTAGGACCCAATATTGAGTCCATGCAAATAAAAATATATACTGAAACACTTTTAGCTCTGTTAGAAGAGAGTATTAGGTTAGCATTGGTTTAGTCCCACAATGACTGTGAGACTAACTTGTAACCACTGTTTTAAAAAACCTCCGCCTAGTCCGCTTAGACCTACGTCTAGACCTACGCGGTACCTAAGCCGTCTAACTAGCGCCTAACATCTAGACGGTATTTAGGTTGCCCACCTAGACTTTACGAGCGTTTAGGGGAGCATTATCTTCTTACGTGAATTGCACCCTGTAGGTCTTGGTTGTGATTTTATGTGTTGTAGCCTACACGTCCTCCAAAGTCCATTAACCTCCAAATATAAACACTTCTACTACCTCCTCCGACCTTCAACAAAACCTCATCGACCACCACTTAAATGAAGAAAGAAATCTGCCTAGACACCAGTCCGGCATCTAAGCTTTCTATAACATTGACATTCACTATCAATTATTGTAATTAAAAATAAAAAAACATCTTAGGCTCTAGCCTTGTTAATTATTATTTTGGCTATTTAGTATCCAAGTTTGCATGATTTATTATGGAACTAAAATTGCTATCTTTTTTTAAAAGTTTATATGAATTTAATACATATTTTTATCAATTATTATAATTAAATAATTTAAAAATAGTCAAACGTCTGGACACTACCTAGGCGTACGCCTAGGGGTCTAGGAGCTAGGCGCTCGCTCAAACGCCTAGTCTGCCTAGCCCATTCTGTAACATTGTCGAGCTCCCCCGATCTCTGTAACTACTAACAAGGTAAAGAATACTTCTTAAATATCTATTTAAGTTAGTTAACGGTAACTTAAACTTAACAAGTGTAAGTTAACAGTAAACTTAAGTTTAAGTTAATATTAAGTTTTTTGTTAATGGTAAACTTAAGTTTAAGTAAAACAGTAAACTTAAGTTAACAATATTTTAATTAATAGTAAACTTAAGTTTAAGTTTATTGTTAACTTAAACTTAACAGTAACTTATAAGTTAACAGTAATTTGAGTTGAGAATGAGTTTTTCACTGTTGAGATGAACTTATAATTTGTGTTGAGAAGTATAAACATACAAAGAGCTATTGTAATTATTAAACCATGCAATTTAGTTAATAATATTGGTATTTTAGTATTTATGCATCTTTGATTGGGTATATATATATTTATCTTCAAGTATCAAAATTAAAAAAAACGCCCAGAAACCGCTTAGATGCGCGCCTATGCGACTAAGCGCTGGGCGCTAAATCCGACGCCTAGAAGCGCCCAGCGTTTAATGTAACATTGCTTGTAACTAATTCATCTCTATAAATAATAAAGTATAGAGTGAGGAGAACTCTCTCCAATAAACTCTTTTCTCAAAATCTTTAACATTGTATCAGAGCCTATCTCTAACCCTAACCCTAATACTAATCCAACTTCCTAAGGCAAACCCTAACCTTAATTCCCGCGTCTTCGTCCAGATCCGTCGTCGCCGTCTTCGTCCAGATCTGTCGTCGCCGTCTTCGTCCAGATCCGTCGCTGACATCGTCGTCTTCGTCTTCGTCCAGATCCCTTCGATTTGTCGCTGCTTCGTATGTCGTCGTTGTTGCGTTCGCGATCTTCCATCGCTGCTGCGTCGTCTAGATCGGAGCCTTTGCCGCCAACTCATCCGCAGCCAGATCTGAGTCTTCGTCGCCAGCTCACCCGCCACCAGCTTCGTCCGGACCTACCACCGCCGCCGCCACCATGGGGCCTTCACTCACCGCCGCCATGCTCCTCTATCCCCCCTCCCTCTTTGTATTCGGATCTGAATCAAATCTGGGAATTGTACTGTAAATAAAATTAAAAAATTAATTAAATTTTTTAATTAAAAAAAACTTTCGGGTTCCATCTTAACCTTCGGGTTCTTGATCTTTAACCTTTGGGCTCCATATTAAGTTATTAACCTTCGGATTTTTACACTTTAACCTTCGGGTTCAAAATTAAACCTTCGATTTTTGGACTTAATCAGCCAACTGGCTAATTCAAGAATTATTATCTTGAACTTGGACATGCTTTGATTGTTTCCAGTTTGGAATACAATTTGTGAAGGGTATCGTCTTGAACTCTACTCGTCTGTTTCGTTATGGTCGGATCTGAGAAACTCAAGAATTCTGAGTTAACGGTCCAGACGAAAGTTTTAGAGATATTTTCTGGTAGAATCACTGACCGAAAACTTGATGAAATTAATTATTTCCAGTGGAATCGTGTTATTAAAATCTACGTGGCATGCCGAGGCAAAACTAGTCATTTGTTGACAAACTCTCCTACTCGACACCGGAATCTTAGACATTGGATGATAGTGTCCTCTTGCATCAAATTCTTAATACTATAGAACCTAAAATTCATGATTTAGTTCTTCATTGTATGACAGTGAATGAACTTTGGTGTTTTTTGCAAGACCTCTATGGGGGTAGTAGCAATATTAATCGGGCATATGAAGTAATTCAAGAGCTGTTTCGTAAGAAACAGGATGGTAAACCCATGGATGATCATTATGATGAGTTCAATCGTCTAACTGAGAAACTTCGTCAGATTTTTCCTATTACTTGGAATGTAAAACAAATGCAGAACTAATGGAACAAACTTATGGTACTCACCTACTTGGGTACTCTAGATTCTATTTACTCCTCTGATCGACCACAAATCATGGGAAGCTCCGTCATTAGTTCTCTGACTGAGACTTATCACTTTCTGAAAAACGATGTCCCTGCACAGCCACTTACATCCACTACGGATCGCTCTGCACTTGCCACTCAGAGTTGGCAGTCTTATAGACGAGGGGGTCATACTGGTGGTCCTGG